TATTAAATTTTTAACACTCTGTCTTTTCCAGTGGTAGAGAACTCTTACTGGAGATCAGCTCCAGAGGTATGAATTATATATCTATAAATACTCTCATAAAGCAAAAACCAAGGCAGCTCCAAGGCTAAAGCAGACCTTTTATATCCCCAGTGCTCTTGGTAGTTAAAAGAAAAGCACAACTCCATGAAAGTAGTATATGTGCTAAGAGGCTAATTTTTAATTAATATATGCACACTTCGTGGAATAAGAAGGCCAAGCAAAGCACTGGGCCACTTGGTATAAGGTTTCCCATCTCACTGACCTCCATTCTTTCAGTGGTCCTTCCAGTTAGATGTTCATTTTTTTGTTGGGTTCTTGCTTGATTTTTTTCAGCTGTACTGTTGATGGGCAAACTAGTCTTGCATCTATATCACTGCAGAGAAAACCATTTTATCTGTTTCTCTTTTGTTTAGTTCTTTGGCATTGTGTTATCAAGAGAACGTATTTCTATTCAGGAAACATCCATTCTCTGCTTAGGAGAGAAAATACAGAGTATCTGAAAAATAAATCTGGAAAATCCTTGTGAAATCTTTGGATTGTTAAAGTAATCCTGAACTTGGAGCATACGGATGAACACTGTTAACTGCTGTGTAACAGCCAACAGAAAAAAAATGGGAAAAGAAACCTGTAACTATCAGGAAACAGCCCATATAATCCACAAACAGAATCTAAAGCTCACATGAATATTTGTTTGGAAGCCATGGCCCAAACTGGGTGGCAGCCTTGCCTTTTTTTTTTTTTCATAAGCACAGAACTATTTGGAAATTGAACCCATAAGTTTTATTCGGGTCTCAAAGCATTTAATTTTGCAATTGAAAAAATGGTAGACATTGTGAGAAAATAAAAACTTGACAAACATAAAACCTGTCTCAAATGTATTTCCCTTTCCAGATTGTCATGTAAAGTTTTTCAGGAACTCCTCTAGCCTTTTTCTAGAAATCTAAATCTTTAAAACGTTTGGCTTCTACAGCAAACCATGCAGGATTGAAATCCTGCATAAGTAATTCTTGACAACTGAGTGGCTCTTTGTCTTTTAAATCTTTCAGTGCTTACCTTGAAACCAAGTTGGGGCCTGGGCAAGAGGCACCAATTCTCCATAAAACGACCACTGGCTCCAGGCAGCTTCCTGCTCCCTCAGCTGTCCTTCTGTGAAAGATGGTTACCCCTACATGCACACTCATAGTCTGCTTGTCATCAGACTCCCCCTTGTGTCTCTTACAAACAGAAATGTAGTACCAGTAACAGAGTTGTTTGCAGGCATGATGTGAAAGTTTGCAGTTGCTCCCCTCCATAGATATCGGTGATCATATTTCTCACACTTTCCTGGGAGCTTTTCAGAATTTACATTCCCTGTTATCTTTAAATAACACATTTCTTTTAGATTGATTGGCATTTTTATCGTGCCCTTTTAAAGGGTGTTTTTTTCCTCTATAAATCACATAGCCCAAGAAGTATTCATTGTGCTTTCATCCTGTTATACCTACCGCTTCAAGTTTGCTGTGAGTTTTGCATAGATGCCTAATAGCTGTCAAAAAGAAGTCAGATCTGATACCTAGGGTGCTTTTTCTGACTTAGTCTCTCACAGCTTTTTTTCAGTCTCACAGATTCTTCCATTAGAGAGAGAAAAAAAGAAATCAAAACATTATTACCATCCTTGCAGCCATCTACCTGATACTCCCCAAAAGTATATGTAACAAATTTACTCCTTGATGGAGAAGTGATTCCTAATGAAAGACCTTAAAGAGTCTCTTTATTTCTTTAGTATGCAGGTAACCATAGTATGGATCATTGGACAATTTGAAATAAAAACTAATTATGAGATTAAATAATTGTATCAAAGTTAATCCAGTCTTCCTGGTATGAAAGTTGTTTCTCTTCTCTCACATATTGTGAGATGAAAACTTTTTAAAACCTAGTCCTAATTCTGTCCTATTGTCTTCCATCCAACAGACTTGCTGGAATCAAAAACTCCAGTATTTTCTCCATCACTTATGTAAAATTCCACTTATGATAGCAAGTTTATCAGCTTTATTTTATATTTCAAGGAGACCGTGATCATTTAATAGTTGCAGTAGTCTTGATCATTAGCTCAAGTCCTCAACAGCAACAAAAACTATAAAACTATGGCCTAGTTTTAAATGAAAGGGGTATTGGGGCAAAAGGAAAATTTTCCTATTAAATGTAAGATATGTCTGATTCCTTCCAGAAAATTAATTATTAATACGAGCAAAATAATTTCTCTTTGGAAGAAAACTGCCCAAAGTATTGTCCCAGTGTATGGCAGATCAACTGCATACTGATGCTGTGTGTCAGTATAATAGCTTTTAAGAACAAAGGCACTTCAAAGCTCTAGGTAAGCAATTAAAAGCTGCCAAACTGGTTTCTTTTTCCAATTGAGTGTCACAGATGGTGAATGAAAATCACAAGTCGATCCTGCTCTTTAATAACAAAACAGTGATCTTCAAAAATTGTTTAAAAAGAACATTTTCTATCCCTGACTTTCTGGAACTTAAATTCTCGAGTCATGCAATTTGGTGCAATTCTGACTTAAATACTGTTATTTTTATTCATTTTTTTTACCAGGCTCACAGATGGTCTTTCCCCCTGAGGCATACTCCAAGTTCATCCCAAGCCCACCTGTTTGCATAGATTATAGGTGCTCTCCTCAAGCCATGCATAGGGTTTTTGGACATATATAAATCATATTACATGCTCTAGTTTCTACATTGCTCAGAAAACAGCTCAGAGGCATGAGCACAAAATGCCATGTAGCCTTTTGTCAGACTACATTTTCTGCTTTTTTACATAATTTTTTAAAAAATATGTAGTTTGCAGTGATTGATACTTATTTCTTCATCCTCTAACCAGTAACAAAAGAGGTATATGAAGGTACTGAGGAAGCTCAGGAAACTAAACATGTTCAAATTGGCCCTTTTTATCTTAGCTTAAAACTAACTTTGCATGAAAGTACACAAAAGTACCAGGTTTCTTATTTTGGCCTAATTTCTGCCCTGGTACCTCTGAGATAATTCTGACTTTTTCAACTGATTAAACTGTGTGACCACTTATTTTCTCATTAAGGAAAAGAATAAGTCATATTGCTAGTTCAGCTGTCCAGATTTAATTGAACTGTTAAGTACCTTTTCCAGTATATTGCCATCTTCAGTATGTAATTTGTTCAGATATATTGCTCTCCAAATACATTTAGAAGGAATTTAGGTTGTAGACTATTCCTTCTAGAACTTCTATGGACATTACTGGCAGAATTCAATGGGAAACAAGTGCGTGTAATATATAGGGTAGATTTGAGAGAGCAGAATTTTGACCCTAATGCCATTCAGCAATCTAACAATGCCAAATTGTTCATTAGCAGTTATTAATACAGAATTAAAACCCAGAATTATTTATTTAGAAGCTGTAATTCCTTTTACATATCCTTCCTTAAGTAATGGTACGTATAAATAAAATTTTCAATACATTAGAAATACTTAGTGAGTTACACTCCTTTGAACAGATCTAGATGGCTCTCATGATGTCAGCTGAACTCTTCAATGTATATTTTAAGCAGCTTACTTAAGTGGCTAGCACAACAAAAATTACCCAAGGGACAATTTTATACACAAATTTTCCAAAGCAACATGGCTCATTCTAAAAAAGTGTTGATGACCAGTATGTCAGCAGAAGACTATGTAATCATAACTAAAGGAATTAGATAAATGAAATTCCACATCAGAATAAAACAATGGAGTGTCAATTACCCATAAACTCAAAGGTAGAAGTACAGTCATATTACAATATATAGAAAAAAACAGGGCTAGTATCCTAAAAGTAGCGATATTGCTCTTCAGAATCCAAATCATAGGAATGATACACCAATTTTCTTGCTTCAGTTGTAGCTTATACTATGGGAAGGTACAAAGGTACAGTTTGTTGTTCAAGAGTAGACCATAAGTCCACCTTGTTCTTAGTCCTCTGTAGGCAGGTAACCATCATGTTAGAAATAAGTAGAACTGATCACAACTCTCTGCTTATCAAAAAGTAACAGTAGGAATGAAGACAACTTCTGCAGTACAATCCTGGGCTCAATCGAACTGGGGTTTATCAAAGTCCTTATTCAGTTATATTATCAATCGCAATAAAATCTATCCTAATTCTTAATCGAATTATAGTAAAAGAATATCAAGAAGAACCAAAGATGAAGATAGTATGGCACTAGTAGCCCCAAGAGGTGGAAGGAAAGGGACATCCCTCGTGTTGAACAGAATGCTAAAGAAATATTATAAAGAGATGAACATTGAGTAGAGCTCTGTACACTCATGGACCCCAGTAAGTACTTGGTTCTTATTCCATCCCTTGCTTTCATGAACTTTCCCACAATTTAAAAGCCAGATAATGATCAAGAAGAAATGGATGAATGCTAAATGGCTTAAGGAAAGGACTTCTAAACTACAGGTGAGCAGATTAGAATGGCAGAGAAAATACCATTGTTATTTTAAATGAAAATAATCAGAAGAGGAAAAACTGGCAAGATGAATGGTAAAAAACACATTTATGAGAACACTGATCTATGGAAGTCTAAAATAATTAATTTAAATAGTCTTCTAACCAAATGCTTAAGAAAGATCACTACCAAAAATTGATGACCACAGAGTCACTTGAGAGTATCTTCAAAAATCAAAAACTTTGGGTCCCCAAAAATCCAGAGTATTTCACTGTACATACCTAGCATAGGTAGGAAATGGAACATGCAGTTTACCCATGTCCGAACAGGATGGGAGGGAACAATGAAAGGCACCCCCAGGAAAGTATGTTGGTAGTGTAGCTAGGGTGAGAAACCTGATCCCTGACACCTTTTCAGAATGCCCACAACCTTTCTCACCCTTGAGTCAAGTGAACAGAAAATGGTGCATTGTGTCATTAAAATGTACTAATCTTCTTTTTTTCTCTCTTTTCCATCCCAGGAGGTGAATTAGTTATCCCTCTACTTGTAGAAGACCCTTTAGATATCCCTCCTATTGCTACTCGTGCACCTTTCATTACACTTCCCCCTACCTTTCGCCCCCTCCTCACCATTATTGAGACCACCAAAGATTCCCTGTCCATGACCTCTGAGGCGGGGTTACCTTGCTTGTCGGACCAAGGCAGCGATGGTTGTGATGATGATGGCTTGGTGATATCTGGGTATGGCTCAGGGGAAACCTTTGACTCTAACCTACCCCCTACTGATGATGAAGATTTTTACACCACCTTCTCCTTGGTAACAGATAAGAGTCTTTCCACTTCCATCTTCGAAGGTGGCTACAAAGCACACGCACCCAAGTGGGAATCCAAGGACTTTAGACCTAACAAAGTCTCCGAAACTGGTAGGACTACTACCACGTCTTTGTCCCCTGAGCTGATCCGCTCCACAGCTTCGTCCTCGACTGGGATGGTGCCCAAATTGCCAGCCGGCAAAATGAATAACCGTGAGCTCAAACCCCAGCCTGACATAGTCTTGCTTCCGTTGCCCACTGCCTATGAGCTAGACAGCACAAAGCTGAAGAGCCCGCTAATCACTTCCCCCATGTTCCGTAATGTGCCCACAGCAAACCCCACGGAGCCGGGAATCAGACGGGTTCCGGGGGCCTCAGAGGTGGTCCGCGAGTCGAGCAGCACAACGGGGATGGTCGTCGGCATTGTGGCTGCTGCCGCCCTCTGCATCCTCATCCTCCTGTATGCCATGTACAAGTACAGGAACAGGGACGAGGGGTCCTATCAGGTGGACGAGACGCGGAACTACATCAGCAACTCAGCCCAGAGCAACGGCACGCTCGTGAAGGAGAAGCAGCAGAGCTCAAAGAGCGGCCACAAGAAGCAGAAAAACAAGGACAAAGAGTATTATGTGTAAAAAAGAATACTTATTTATATATAAATATATAAATACTTAATGAGATTTAACTGAAATATCAGAACCATTGCAGCGAACGAGATGATTGGGAGATATCGTTTGTGGGAAAAAGTATTGGGAAAAAATTTCAGCAGTGACTGTTAATGTCTCAGTCATCGCTTGGAGTCAGCAAACTTTGCCCTAATGTATTATAAAGCACACTTAGCGTTCTGGAGATGGCGCGCACAGCTCTGCTCTGTTAGTGAACTTGGACATCTCCAAATCTCCTCCTCCGCTGAACTTTCTGCAAAAGTAGAAGACTTCATGGCTTACTTGTTTCATATCTCCAAGTGAGTCTTTAACAATGTTCGTGATCCCTGACTGTATCGATAATTTTTCAGTTTACTTATTAAAAAAAAAAAAAAAGAAAAGGAAAGAAAAATAAAAAAAATACAACCATTATTAAACAACAAAGAAATATTGAACAAAATTATCTGGCCGTGTCCAGCATACATATAATTTTTCGAGATTGGAGGAGGGGAATAAATGATTTTGGAGATTGTTGGATTTTTGGTTTGGTTTGGTTTTGTTTCTTGGGTTACTTATTGTTTGGTTTTCTTGGTTACTTTTGGGTGTGGGAGGGAAGAATGGAGTGGAATGGTGCAGGGGGTGAACTAGGGCATATGTTGAGAAGAAATCTCGGAAAAAAAAGCCCCCTAATAAATAAAGAGAGACTATTGCCATATATGAACTCAAAAGCTACCCATGGTGTTTACTCTGCATATCTGGTTGTGTTGTCTCTAGAATCTGTGGTCTTGCAGTAAGTTGTTTGCTAACAACGCAGTGAAAGTGACTCATGGGTGGTGCTGAAGAAAATTATCATGGAAAGCTGGTTCCCTTGGATGTGGCTCTAGTATTTGCAATTGAACTAAAGAGTATATGTATTTGGGTCTGTTCTGATCAGTCATTGGCTTTGAGTACCGCACTTAGTATGCATTAGCACAACCAAAGTATGTTTAACAGGATTTGAAGATTCAAAAAGGAATACATAAAAGTTATTAACTATTCTGAGCTGAATATATTGTGCAAAAATAAAGGAGCCTTCCTCTGGGTTCTGGTTCTGTGACATTGCAATGTATGCAAAAAATAATGATAAATCAGTTTCATAAAGAGATCAGAAAGACACCACTGGAGTTCAACTTGTGACAAGACCAATAAATGTCAGAAAAGCTAAACAATTGTAAAAGAATGCAAAACACATAGATTTTTTGACATATAACTGGTTTTCATATGTAATGTTTTAATTTTGTAGCTTGACATTTCAGATCATCTCTGTCTTTCCATTTGCCCTATTCTCCCTTTTCCTCCTCTTTTATATAAAAGAAAATAAATGAAGCTGCTGTGACACACAGAAAAAAAAAAAAGAAAAGTTAATTTAATAATATAATATATATATATACACACAGATATATTTATCATGGTATGTTTGATGGGACGACTGGAACAGAAGTTCTGTTATGGTCTTAATGTGGAATGAGAATGTTCTTGAAGAACAGAGTAAAAAGAAACAGACAACAAAAGCAAACCTTAAAATGTGAAGTGTGTGTTTTAGCTTTGTCACAGTTACCTGTGTCAAAAAAAAATCTGAAATTTTGTTTACATATTTTACTACTATTTTTTTGCTAGTATAATTTCTATATGGATACCCTGATGGTGTATATACTGTTTTATGGTTAAATTGGGAATTTCTTTTATTTTATTTAACTTATTTAATTTCATTGTTTGGTTTCTACATTTTCCCAGTTATTGTGAAAAGGATTATCTTACTGTACAGAACAATAGTGAGGTGGTTTGACGGCCATGCCTACCATGATCAAAAAAGCAAATAAGAGAGAGAGAGAGACAGACAGAAAAAACAACAAAAACCAAGAAGGATTGAGAACTCTGGAATATCAGAAATGTACACTTTTGCTGTATGCGGTTGAAAACTAATCAGCTGTTTAGGTTTAGAAATCTACTCTTGCTGGTGTTTATAAGTCGCATGAATATTTGACTCTGAAGAAGTGTCATCAGATACACACACGCACATGGGAACTTAAATTCAAAAAAACAGTCTTCTCAAACATTTAGAGAAGATACTTTCATGTTAACAAATATTTTCAGTGCGTGTATGTGTGCGTGTGTGTGGTGCGTGTGCGTGTGTGTGAGGTTGAGCTTTTTTTCTTTTTTATTTTTTATACTAAAAAGAAAAAAAAAGACAGGTTTTAAAAAGGTATGAAAGCACGATTTTAGATGACTTAACTGGCCGAAACTATATAAAGTTGATTATATCTTGATGTCTGTAAAAGATTGCTGTTCTTGGAGTCTTGGAGTCTTGTGAAATGATTTCCTGCTTTCTTTCTTCCTTTCCTTTTCACTTTCCTTTTTTAAGTTAAAGAAAAAATATTTACACTTTCCTTTTTTGTGTAAGTTTCTATTGGACAGTTTTTGGGAACATGTGCATTTCTGTATGTGGGCTTCTACCATATCCCTGTTGCTTTATGGACAACCTGAAGAATTTTTATTTGAGTTTTTGTGATGTTATTGCTTTTTTCTCTTTCTTTTTCTTCTTCCTTTTTGATTCTTTTTCTTTTCTTAGTTGCATTTTGTTTAAAGATATGCTTAGCAATAAAATGTTCTTCCCAAAGCGCTGGATGTTGCTGGTTTTTTATTTCTAAAAGACTTCAGGGAAATTCCAGACCTTTAAAGATGAAAATAGTCTGTGATGTAAGTATCACACATCCCATTGGAATGTCTAGCCATGAAATTGCAGAATCCTGTTCATGTTTGCATTCTTCTGTTAGTCCAATGAATCTTATTTCTCTCCTTTGCAGGGATATAAATTAAGCTTGAGTCTGGGGTCTGTCTCACACCACTCCCAGCCCCTTGTCCCTTACCACCACCTCAGTTCTCTGGAATATGGGTTTCAGTCATCTCAGATAAAAGCATACCTAGGATATTGACTTAGTATGCCCTTTCTTATGTGCTACCTCTTTTCTTATGCGCTCCTTCTGAAGTGTGTAGCTCTTCCCATGATGTTTATAGGATTCTGGATTCCTCTTCTTTGGCCAGGAGTCTGTATTTGATGTGCTGCAGCAGCTGAATCCTTTTGGGGATTTGAACAGCCAATTTGATGCAGAAAAATGTTCACATCATTTTATATGAGGATCTGTCTTAGGTCCTCTGAATTTATCTGTGACTTCAACGTACTACCTAAGGAACATAGTTTACATACTTTGGGTGCTATGCACTAGGAATCAAACTTGGATACCTAAAGTAGATGGTCTGAGTGTTAGCTTCCTTCTAGATTGGCCCTGAGGGTCCCAAAACCCCAACTACAGCTACTGACTGTCCCTTGTTTTCCTACAGGGAATAATAGTCTATTCTGATTCTGGCCATCAGGCAAAATTGCCAGTATTCTGTCTTGCTTTAGCAAGCTCTGCAGAAATTCAGCTCGCAGTAGTAGTGTGGAGTTTTTTTCAGACTCGATCTTCCCAAGCTACCTGCAAGATTTTTTACTTTTTAGAGGCATCTGGAGGTCAGCCAAATGAGAGTTTCACAGCCCTTTCATTCTTCAACAGAGGATGACTTCACCTTTTTTTTCCCTCTAGGTGGAATCCACCGGTCTTTTGAGCAGTGTTTTCCACAGGTTTCATTTACAACCAAATTGGACTCAGGATAAAATGATTATTAAGGTATTCCCTGTGATTTTTCTACATTGTTTTTGCTCATATGTTTTCATAGGTGAGAATATGTATGTGTATATATATGTGACGTTCTTTTACTGTTTTCAGTTCTTTTCTGAATCATAGTCTAGCAATTTATAGATTCTCACAAGTATCAAATGCACAGATTCTCGTCTAAACTCCACTCTTCTTTCACTCCTAAAATCATTAAATTCCTGGGTGATGACTGATACCTAATATTTCCAGTGCTGGAGCAGTCAATAGGCATGTGGGAGATCTAGGTCTAAACCTAATTTGCTCTTCTAACATTGCAGAAAATTTCCTTATCACCAAGCAGTTTGTGTTTTGAAAAAATATTTTTTTCTCAATGCTTCTCTCAAAACCTGTTATACTTCATATCATTATGAAATATTATGTGAAACAAGAAATTTCAACCTGATTTACCCTCACCCTCTGGCTTTTTTTTCATTTTGTCTGTCACCTAATGATCATTTTATCACTTAGGCTAAATGAAAATGGCAGAAAGGAGGTTTCATTGCTGCCTGAAAGGCTTAGGATTATTGTGTCTCTTTGGCTCATCTCAGGATCATAGAATCATTGAGATTGAAAGGGATCCCTGGAGATCATGTAGTCCAAGCACTACCACTCCAAAGCAGGGTAAGCTACAGTAAATTGCCCAGGACTATGTCCATTTAGGTTTTTTATATCTCCACATGTAAACTCCAAAATCTCTCTGGGCAAACTGCTCTGTGTGACCACCCTCATTGTAAACAATTTTTGTTGCGGTTAGATGAAATTTGATATTTCTTAATTTATTCTCATTCCCTTTTACTGTTATTCTGGGTACTTTCTGGTACTGAAAAGACCCTGGCTTTCTCTTCTTTACAACCTCCCTCCAGGTGTTTATACATATTGCCCATAAGCCTTCTCTTCTCCAGGCTGAGCTGTCCATGCTCTCTCAGTCTCTCCTTGTGCAACAGATGCTCCAATCACTTATTCATCTTCATGGCTCTTTATTGGACTCACTCCAGTATCTGCAAAATCTGGAGCAGACACAATTGCCTTACCACCATCACTGTGCTAGGGATATAGCTCTTTTCAAGGACCAGGGCTTGCAACTACTCCTCTTCCCAGCATTTTCTACTGGTAACATCCCACTTACTGTATTACTTTTTGAAGATCCCTCTCTTAGATGCTTAGTTCTATTCTTCCAAACTGTTCAGCACATCTCTACTTATTGCACAGTTGCAGATGTTCTTTACAAGTGCTGAGGCAAGTCACGAAGATCTAACAGATGGGCTCTAGCCTTCCCAGTCCTAGTGTTGCAGAAAAGGACTAGTGAAAAGCAACTTCAGTGCTGGTTCCTTTTCCAGATATTTCTGTCCATGCCTCTGGTCTGGGAGGGAGGGCAGAGATGCTGGTCCCCTCTGCAGTTGCTATGCCAGGCTGTTTTTCTTCCCCAAGAAGTAAGAACATATTGATCAGATAGTTTTGTAATAATGATTAAAAGACAAATATCCTTCCCATAGTGGGAAGGATAGTAGTGGAAGTATCCATAGTGGAAGTATCTTCAATCATAAAGTGGTGATTACTCCCAAGGAAGGCAAAAAAACATGACTTATAATCAATGAATGTGACTTCACAATTAGAGCCAAAGCTAAGCATGTTACTTTTAGGGAGATTTTAATGCTATCAGTGTGCAAGATCACAAAGTTCTGTCAAGTGCCCTGTGAAAACAAAGAGTCACATGCAGCTGCTCCTATTTTATCATACATCCTCTCGAGCTGCTAAGGCTGGCCCTGACTCCCTAGAAGATGTTTCTCATATGGTAGAACAAATCACTGCCTTTCCCTCCACACATGCAAGTGGCGACAAAGAATTGGAATGGGAACAAGACTTGCCTTCCAGCTGTCGGCCTCATTGGATCTTCTTGGATTAGCAGAAGTACTAGCACAAGGAAAAAAGACTATTGCCTGCTGTTCAGCTCACTAGATGGGACCCTAGCTGAGCTCTGAGAGCGTGTTTGCCAAGGTGGTAAAGAAGTATTGCAAGCTGGGGTGTCATGATAACTGAAGGAGATTGGAGTGCAAGGTCTTGGCTGATTCTTACTCTTTATTGGTGAAAGTTTCCCCCACAGTAGCAACATTTGTTGGGTTAATTAAGAAAAAAATTAGAACCTCTTATTCAATTTGGTAAAACACTGCCTTATACGTAGCAAGCTTTCACACTCTGCTTCCTCTTCAGACAGTACACATTGCACATAGTGAGATATCTCCTGTCCCCAAATGTTCCTGATAACCTCATTTCTCTGGAGAGCCTGTTCATGTTGTCTTTCACAGATCAGCAAATACAGTGCCATTCAAGGTAAATTTTCAGTAAATGGTTGGTCTGCAGGGATTTGATATTTATAATTTCGGCACATGGATTGCATGAGAGAGGAAAAGAGCGCACCGAAGAGATTATGTTGGACTGCATAGAGCTGGAAAAAAGGCTTAATTGTTAAAGATATTGAGGTGGCTAATTCTTATTAAAAACAGAGGAAATGAATTATATAAACATCTTTAAAAATTGAGGCCATTTCAGTGTAGTAGTCAGATAAAGTTAATTAGCTAGTGTTAATTGCTTGGGCTTTTGCAGTACCAAATGGTGTAGGGAAGTGGTGGACAAGGTTCTGCTCTCTCTCTCTTATATGAGGTTTGTATAACTCACCTGCTTTTAGGGGGAGAGTAAAAATGAGAGATGGCTCAGATCTGCTGTAAATTGACTGGAGAGAAATCCAATTCAGCATGCTAGGATGAAGCTGCATGAGCATGTTGTTTCCTTCAATTCAATTGAAGCAGACAAAAAAAAAATTGGCACATTCCCATACCTTGTAAAAACCTAAGAGAAGCCCAAACCTGCACTTCTGCCACCAAGTGCAACCTAAAGCCACTCAGCAAGAATTTTCATCTGCTACTCCATGTTTTCATCTACTACTCCATGCTTCTCTTTTGTCTGCCTGTTCACAGAAGACAACGAAGGGGCAATATCCACATGGGTCAGCAAAATCCTGAACAAGCAGCTGGGAAAACCTTAGGCACACTTTTCCTCAATGGCTTGTAAGCCAGGCCCTATGCCTAACAGCTTTGGCTGATGCACATGGAAAATTAAACTCATGGGAAAAGTATTATATATACATATATGTATATTTGGAACACCATGAAAATATTCACTCATCATGTGGATTTCAAGAGTAGTTACATAAAGTGTTAAAACACTGGACAACAAAACCATAGAAATGAAAGTGGAAATGGGAAAAGTAGAGGCTCTGTAAACCATCGGTAATTGTATCTGCATGACCTCCTTGACGCAGATAGTTCTCACAGTTCTTTGTCTTATAGTTTGTCCCAGTAATTTAAAGTTGTTACTACTATCAAGTGATGGTAACAGCAAGCCTTTAGTACAGTGGGGAAAGAGATAATGGAAAGATCACTCACAGGGTGATGAGGAACCCCCTTCTGAGGAGCAGTTTCCAGGGGCTATTTGTAAAAATAAATGAAGTGGGAAAAACAGAGCCTGCATGCAGTGCACAGTCATGCACCCAGTAAAGCAGTAGGTGAAGAACAGGATTTTGATTTCCAAAACTAAGAATGTATGGAGCGAGCTGTGCCAGGGCTAAGACTTTATGTAGCTTGAATCAAGCCCTTTTCTCCACGTGCATTATGAACTAGAGTTTACTGGTACTATGCAGGATTCTATTTCAGTAGGTCTGTTTGAACTCTCTAAGTATTTGATTTCTACCACTTCTTTTTCATCATATGATTATTCATGTCTGCCTGTTCCCTGACTCACAAACGTTAATTTACATCCATGGTTCCCTTGTGAGCTGATACCAATATCTCCCCTATGCAAGGACATAAACTAAGACAAAGAGACTTGCCTGTGGTTATATAGAAAATCCATGGCTGTAAAAAGATTAGCC